CCCCCCCCCCCCCCCCCCCCCACTTTAAAAAACAAAACAAAAACAACAACAATTGTGACAATAAAAAATAGAACAACAAACAAACAAACATACTAACTATAACAACCTTCTCAAGATTAAGCTAACCACAGAAACAAAAGATCCCCCTCTAAAAATTATTCAAGTTTACAAAAAATTCAAAATCATTACCTAAACTGAAAAGCAAAAAAAAAGAAGGGCACTTAAAGTTACCCTTACACCCTAGGAACAGCATACGCCTAGCCCAGAAACTGGCTCCTACACTGCATAGATATGAATTGTAACTGTGATTGTCGATTTAGGCCTAGATCCTAGATCATTTTGGAGGCAAGCTTCAGACGCCTCCCACCCCCTCTCCCCCACTTTTGACACTTACTTGACCTAGTAGCCTACCTGTCCCCGTCGTTTTATGCAAAAAAAAAGTTTAAGGAAATATGCAAACTGAGCTCAAAAAAGGTAAATTATGCGATTCCGTTAATTTTAACAAAGAATGATAAAGGAAAATAATAAGAAATTATGACAAAATATGATACAATTTTGCTCAATTATGCGGAGTGCATAAAACCCAGGGGACAGGAGTCCCAGGAATCCAGAATTTCTCCTCTCCATGAGGCCACTTGAGTGTCGCCGTGATTCCATGCACTACAGACATTTTTACCTTATTTTTAAAAAATGAAAAATGAGGGTGCGGGGATGGGGGGTCGAAATGTACTTTTCCCCAATAATATTTAATTTAGAGAAGAAATGACAACCACACGGAGAAACTCTGCATTCTACATTAACTACCAAAATACAACAAACACCATATCACGGCAGTGGTTGCCAACCAAGGTGATATCACCCGCCAGTGGACCATTTGATGATTTTTGTGGGCGGTGGGATCATCCAGAGTACACAGATAAATATTATCTAATGCCCAGCTTGGAAATACAATATGTAGGTGGGAGGTACGAAAATGTTCACCTCTTTGCAGGCGGCAAAAGTGGGTGCTGGCTATAGAAAGGTTGACAAGCACTGCATTACAACATTCTATCAGAGTCAACACCTTTTGGGGGGGATGGGCAGGGGGATTGGGAGGGGGGAGGGTTATGAACCCACACAATGCATTTTTGTTTAAATTTGTTTGATTGTTTGTTTGTTCATGTCAGTAAGGAGAAGCACATCGACACAATAACACATACTGGCAGCAGAGAAAAAGTAAGATAGACAGAAACAAAAGGTGGAAAGAAAAGAAGTAGGACCTACAAGAGGCGTCCTGTAACTCTAACCATGTTTCCCTTAATGCAAACTATACATGCGACGGCCTATTGGAAGAGCTTTATGCCCCCACTGGCACAATCTGGACAATTTAGGAGGCTGGACGCTTTAGTTCTGCCTGTCACAGGCAACCTGTTACGACCCAACAAAAAAACAAACTGATATTTGTTTTTGAAACAAGTTTCCTTAGTTGGGAATTGAACTCATCTTCTGCAGATTCCATTTCTTTACCTGTTGCTATTTACAACAAAAGATGTATCATTTATACATACGTATTATATATATGGGTTTTGGTGGGGGGGG